ACGGACAATGGCAACTTACACAGGACGTTTTGAGCTTCTTGGGAGGAGTCGCAGATTATAACGATGTGGTCAGCATATTCCAAGTCATGGAGTCGATCACCTGGGAGGAGCTCCTCACCGGAAGCTCTGCAGTTTTCTAGAGCGCTGCTTAGGATTTTGTCTATTGCACCCTTGTCGAACTACTGAACAACTGAAGAGAAGATGCTATCATAGAAACTGATGCGGCCTGATCTGTTTGAGTAGACGGGTTTGAGAAGGTTTACGTGTTTCTCGGGCACACCGCTTCCTAACAGACAAGTCCAGAGGGCTGCTCTATCAATTGAGTCTAACGCAACACGTAAGTCCACAAAGTCAAACATGGTTGGCTTACTGAAAGTGCCGAAACCTAGTGATTGGCTGGAGAAGCCGCGTGCTGTGGTGGCGGACTTGTGCATGACGTTACGGATGAGTCCACTGGTTACCACTGTTTGAGGATGACAGACTGTCTAGATCAGCAGCTAACGTGTTTCGTTAGGCGGTAACTACGTTTGGGTCGGTCAGTTTCATCAAATCGAGTCTTCTCGGGTGACGTTGCTGTTTTCCACCAAAGCGCGGATAATCTTGCGCACAAGAGCGCATGACCAGAGCTGTGATATGGGCTCCAAAGGGATTTGCTGTCCGTTATGCAATTTCTCCGTCGATGGTTGGTGTCAATAAGATCTATTTGAGTTCAGAGCTGATCAGACGATGGAGGTCGCCAGGTAGCACGTTGGCGCCATGGTCGGCGAAAATTAGTGCTCGAAAAGAAAAGGGCCCTGTTCAGCGCAGATTAGTAGGAGATAGTCGTCGTTGTCAGATCTCCTAACACCGAGGCTATGTCCGCCACCAAGTGAGGCTTCGTCAGCGTCTAACCTACCCACTTGTGCGTCCAAGTCGCCGGCTGGTATCACGATGCCAGTGTGTCGTCTCAGTTTCAGTTTGAACAACCATTAACCATGCACTTTCGTGCGCCGCTTCTGGTTGCTGTCTTTTGGCTGCCCATTTGGATGAATAATAAGAGAAGACAGGAAAGTTAAGGCTAGAGTCGACTAGAAAATGGAGATCAATGGTCTAAGTTAGCAGAGATTGAGAAGGTGCAAGAACGCCACTGTGTACGACACCCAGCCATATCATTCAGTGTCTCTAACCATCGGTTACGATCATCCCGAGGTTCCCAGCCAAGGAGCCTTACGGGACCTATGTGACCCAGATTCTGGTCAGGGTTTTCATACCCTCGTGCTTGGCCACTCTTGATTTTCTTACATCCACTATTTGCTTCGGCGAACATCGCTCGCCGTGGAAACCTATTTGGAGAGATGCGTAACACATGCCTCAACCAGCGTAATCTATGGACGTCGACCACTTGCCCCAGTGAGCGACCGCAATTGCCTAAAATTTTCCCCCTACTTCTGCATTGCTCGTCGAGCTGCCCCACCAGATTCGTGCAATGCTGAGTAGGCAAACCATTTCGTCTATTCGCGGCAGTGGGTAAGCGTTCAACAGCGTGTAGCGATTGATAGTTTGACTATAGTCGACTACCATGCGTCTCTTGTATCGTTCATTTGTGGTTACAAGGACTTGTGCTCTCCAGGGTGAAGTTGAAGTTTCAATGATGCCCTCCTTAAGAAGACGACAAACTTCTGATCGAATAAATTTCTCGTCATCAGGAGTGTGGCTGCGTGATTCGGTTGCAATGGGTTTACAATCCGGCAGCAAGTTCCCGAAGAGATTGTGGTTCGATGCGTGAAGCAGGTGCGTTAGAAAAAGAAAGTGAGGGTCTGTTACCCCTGAACGGGATTTTAACTGCTTTGTGGAGTTTCAAAAAATCATGTCCCAGTAATACATCGGCACACAAATGTGGAAAGACTGAGAGTTTGAAATTGTCGTATGAATTGTTCCCGAGGTCTATGGCGACTAGGCAGTGACCTTTCGTGTGACCAACCAATCTCAGGGATGCCATCAAGATTGTGCTAGATGACTGCTGATGACTGACTGGTGTCGTTTCACGAAAGATTCAGAAATATAGCTTTCGGAGCTTCCGGTGTCTATTAGAGCTTCAACGGGGATCTTATTCACGGTGATTTTTACCAGTGCGTTAGAGAGACAAGCCGGAGCGGACTCCGAGACTGTGGTTGAGAGCGCATGCATAGTAGCTGAGGTTGACCGTTTCTCCGGGAACGTTCTGCAGACCCGTCTGAAATGTCCTTTCTTCCCACAATTACTGCAAACTGCGTCCTTTGAAACGAGGGTGTCTGTCGTTTCCACAAAAATAGCATTTGGTTTTCACCGCGGCTGACGTTTGCACACGTGGGCTGTTGCTTTCCTTGAGATCGTAAGAGGGACTTTCTATTGGTTCAGGTGAACCTGAGGCTGCTGCTGTATACGACATTGGTGATATCTGAAAAGCATTAGACTGTTGTGCCATTTCAAGTGATCGAGCTAGTTCTAGGGCGGTGGGTAGGTCTAGACATCTGTTTTCAAGACGACAGTGTCTCACAACGCCTGACTGCATCCCGTTTATGAAGGCGTCTCGTATGGCGTCATCCTGATTTTATCCAGCCATTACGGCCTTATAGTTGCAATTTTTGGCTAAAGATTTGAGCTTCTGAAAGAATTGATCGAAATTTTGCCCTGGTTCCTGTTTGCAGGTGGCCAGTAGATACCGGGCGAACACCTCAATTAGTGGTTTGATAAACAGCTTTTCCATGTTTTCACAGCATCACTGTACGATTTACAATCCGCAACATAGTCATAGATACTTGGAGAAATGTAATTGTAGAGAAAATCCAATTTTTCGGAATCTTCAACCCCAATTTAAGTAAGAAATCTGTCGAAGGTGCAAAACTAGTACCGCCATATTTTCGAGGAATTAGGAGTATTCGGGTCCGTATCGAATCTTTCGGGAAGGAGGTAGCATTCCATTTTGAGATAATTTGTATGTTGAATAAATTGATGTGAGAGACGATGGTAAGAGCCGTTGAACAGGGAGAAGACAAAGGCCCGATATCTAGGCTTTATTCAA